GAACTTTCAACACAGACTCCGGGGCACGTTGCAGGACTGTGCTGACCACCTCTCTTATCGCAGGCAATATGAGATCCTCACCAATAGCATGGTGTTTGCCTGCCTTTGTAATTAGCTGAGATAAATCATGTGTCGCTCGTAAGCCTACATCAGCTTGATCGACGTTGGCTGCAAACATCGGTTTAACTGATTTTCATTTCTGAAAATTGATCTTTAGAGTTTTGAAGTATGCCAGATCTTTGTCAGATTTGTGTTGACGAATCTTCTTTATATGGGATTTGCGGGCAGGAAAAGAAAGTTCTTAGTTATAAGTAGTATTGTAAACTGTGCCTGAACTATCTATTTTTGTTTTTGTTGTGGCTTTTTTCCCTATATCATGTTTTATGTTGCATGACATGAAAATTTCACACCGCCCCCTTAGCACCCACCAGCGCCCCCCAATTGCCCAGTTTCGCCACAGCGCCCCCCAAACTCTCGTCACCGCCCCCCCGGGGGCGGTAGCGCCCACTTTGAAAACCACTGCTCTAGACCATGAGAGCCCCCTATAATTTTCTATTTCACAGGAAAACACATCACAGCAAAAAATATCACATTTCATAGCAAATTCCTCAGGAGTGGTTTTTCCCTGCCTAGTTAAATTCTGAAACCTTCAAGCTAAAATTTGTATGAAAGGGAATAGCAGAGAAAAGAGGCACATAAGGATTATCTGTGAAATTCCTTTCCGTCTCAGTTTACAGCCTATCAGTTTTTTCCCTCTGACCTGTTTTCATTGTTTGTCAACACTCACTACATGTACAACCATGCCCTCTTTTACCACCACCCAGCCCTCTTAAACAGGTCAAGATCTATTCTCATACAGGTCTAGATTTATCTCCCACATCCCTGTCACTTCTAACTGAAAGAAAATCTGCCTCCATTTTCCATTTCATTTGCATAAATGGTTCCTTCTTCACTATCCTTATCCATAAGCTCATTCAACAACTCTCAGCTGTGTAGGATCACTTTGCCATATTCACACTATTCAAACCAACTGACTACACTCAAATGAGCACTAAGACAGTTTGACTTGAAAGTTAGATAAAGTATTAGAGTACTCTCCCCACGTTATTTTTGCAAGGGAAGCACGCCACTGTGACAAAATGCAACAGTTTTGTTCGAGAGGCATAATTTTGAACCGAGAATCCCCATGTGTTGGCAGCCGGGGAAGAATTGTGAGCAAGGGGAATCATGTGCACTGTACAAAATGTGAGCCATTCAGCAAGAGACAGTAGAACTAAAATATATTATTGTTTTACCTACAAGAAAATGTTCTACCATAGGTTCTGCTACAATCTGACTGATGACATAGTACAAACCAGTTTTTCACTCAGCCTTTGAGGAAACAAATGAATGAGTCAAACTTTTACAATTTGAGGAGACAAAATCACATGTCACACTTTTACAAGGACACTTACCAACATCTTTGTAAGACTGAATGCCTGGATCCTCAGCATTCTGGAAGAACCCTACAACAGTAATATCATCTGGAGGGAAGACATCCTTCAGCATCTTCAAACTGAAAATTTCTTTGGCTCCGTCTCCCATGTACTTTGTTACAGCAGAAATGAAATCTAAAAATTAGAAACAGTGAAGAAGATTGACAAATTTCTATTTAAACAAATCCTCAAGTAAAAACAGAAAACAAACTATGAACAATGGAAAAACAATTTTTGTTTACACTTCAGTGGCAAAATGTTACTCAAAATGTAAAAAAATAAAATAACAAGTTCAGCTAGAAATGAACTGACTTCAAACTAATGCAGAGGAACTGTTATAAACTATGAAGAAAAAACTCTTCTTTAAGTATTCCATCATTACAAAGTATGGAAAATGGGAAAACAAGTAAAATGATTTTACAGTTAATTAGAAAAATCTAATGGGTTTTTTTTTTTTCTTTTGTCCCCTTGTCTACTCAAGAAGTCAATGTATATAGCTCAAAACCAAAGCTATAAATAAACATTCAATGTTTTAGCAAATCATTCTTCGCTACTAAAGAATTTCACATTCCTTTTGTTCAATAAAGAGATTCAAGTCATATGCCATAATCAACTCTGAAAAGAAACATACTCGTATAACAGCTAATCAAGTCAACAGCAAAACAAGGGCACATCACACCAGAGAGCAAGCCAACCCTCACACCAACAGAGTCCCTCTATTTGTTACCTGGTAATTTTCTCCCTATTACTTGATAGCGGAGTGCTTGCTAGATGCTCATACTGTTAACATTGCTCAAGCCATTACCTGACAAGTCTTCCTAATAATACTCATCCACACACTGCAAGTTTGTCAACATCTCTTTAGTCAATGTCACAACACCGGGAGAGGCCTTCATACTTCATATTTAAATAATATGCTTATCTCATAATAACAAATCCTGTTCCCATACGAGATTTGTTCGAACCAAAGAGAAACCCATCAACACGATGACGGGCATTATAATATGTGAGGAGAAAGTAAGACCCACTGATTGAGATGGAAAAAAAGGAAGTTGGTTCTACCACAGATACCCTCCAATCACCAGCACAAAACGTTGAAGTAATGAGGGAAGAGGTAGTCAACAACACAAGGCACAAAATTAAGGAAACGGCGAGCAAACAGAACTCAGTGAATAAGAATATTTATTAATTTATTTGATCTTACCGTATTCACTGTTCCTTTCACCTTTGTACTCAAAGGGGCGGCCCTTTTTGAAAATTTTCAGAGTGGGATAACCAGTGACACCAAATCTGCTCGCCAACTCTGAGTCCTTGGTGGCATCGACTTTAGCAAAGATCACCGGTGGGTCATTCTTTTTCATCTGCTTTGCAGCTTTCTCATAAATTGGAGCTAGCCTCTTGCAATGACCACACCTAAATATGGAAGTTATGAACAGAACAAATATCATTCAGGTTTCCAGAGACAATGCAAGAATCAATATCAGTTCCACCAACAGTGGAAACTTACACAATATTACAGACATCTAAAAACAGTGGACTAGTTTCAATACCAGTTAATATTCCTGTGTGTAATGTCAGTTTCCTGAGCACTGTCAAAGATGTCATCAATGGAGGCCACATTTCTGTTTTTTCTTCGTGTTTTAGTAAGCGTTTTACCGCACTGGCGACATAATTAGGTCAGGTAAGGGCCAAAGATTTGAAGTGCTACAAGAGAATAGCAAACATAAAAAAGAAGGAGGAGAGATGAGGGTGATATATTTTTTAATTAAAGAAGGAGCAAACCCCACCACAGCACCCACCAACTATCCTTGGCTATATATTTCCATTGTCACTTGTTGACGGTTAACATAAATGTGTGCTTGCTAACAACAATATATATATAGAAAGTGAAAGATTATGGTTTCAAGTTTTTGTAATGAGGATAATGCATTCATGTCTGTCAACAAAAGGAGTGAGTCTAGCTGAAATAATGCATAGAAACAGTATTAACAGGAGCTTTGTCCAAAAGTATTCAGGTTTATATTTTGTTTCTTTTCTTGTCAGAATGATAAAACAAGACAGTTTAAAGAACATTTGCGACACTTGATGTATCAATGTTGTTCGACATCAATGGCTCCTGTAAAATTTATGATCATAGGGACATCAACACAGATTCATCAAAACTCACCATGGAGCATAGAACTCCACAATCATAATCTCTTCATTCTCTGTGACCTCATCAAAGTCATCCTTAGTCAGAGTGATCACAGCCTCAGGTTCTGGGGCCCAGTCAGGTTTTGCAATCTTTTGCATAAACTCAACAATGCCTGAAAAAAAAAGGACAAAATAGTTGTCAAGATGAAGAAATCTCCTATTAAGTCAACTTTGCATAATAGAGAAAATAATTTCCATAGATAATAATTTTTCAAGAACTGGATTTTGACCAAAAATTGCTAGGAAAGCAATTTTCTAACTTTCAGCCACACTGCTACTTATTCCACATGTTTTTATCTGAACTTCTGATTCTGAAGTGTCTTTCTAAATTAAGCAGAGGACTGTATTAGATATGGTTAAATAAGTAACCTCACTTCACACATAAAACTAATAATTTAAGGTGTTAACCCCCCCCAATTTCTCTGAGTTGATCTGCTAATGAGTTTTTCTACTTGCACAAATACTACCTGGCTTGAAGTCCATTCACAATGCGTTAAAAAATCTGTACCCCCCCCCCCCCAGCAATGGACAGGTATTTCAGTTTGAAAAAGCACCAAAATTATAATTACCATCTTTAAACCTGGGGCCATCATATTCATAATCCTTTCCATTCTTGAAGAAACGGAGTGTTGGGTACCCTTGGACTTCAAATCTGCGAAAAAAGAGAAATGAAATGTGGCTTTTAATTTTAATTCTTTCCTTGAATGAAAACTGATCACATTCATAAAGGAACTCTTCATTCCACTTTAAAAGTAGAAATATTTTCATACTATCTAAAAACCCAATAACTTTGCAACCTCACCTTTAAGTCACATGGGCAGACTTATTCTTACAACTGTCTACAATATGGTCTACAACTGTCCAATCAATTGAAAAGCGCTAAAATTCTACAGACATGTCAGTTTAGTTTTAGTAGAGGTTTTACGGCGCTCGCAACTGCATAAGGTCATATGAGCACCAGAAGATTAGAGGTGTCACAAGAGAGTAACAAACATAAAAACGAAGAAGAGGGAAAAGGACGATAGATGTTTGATAGGAAAGTAGAAGCAAACCACACCAGAGCACCTGCCAACCACCCACACAGACATGTCAACTTCAAGAAAAACTTCATATACTTCAAATTTGTGCAAATGTCAAGGGACTAGATAAGACAGAACATTTTATTACAGAAGCCTTTTGGTAACCACCACATTTCTTCACAGTCACAGTAAAATTACCAACTTCAGACCGCCACCTTGCCTAATTTTGATAAGATTTGAAACAACTCTAAAAACACTCAATATCATGACATAGCATGGTTATAAAAAATACACATATTTTAAAAATAGCACAAAGTCATTTTGTCCTACATATGGGTGGGAAGGAAATTCTCAGAACTAGTGCCCTGGAGACAGTGGACTCGTATGCTGAAACTCAAATTCATGCATACACAGATGGGTCAGCAACAAACGCTACACGGAATGCTGAATACGGATATATCATAAAAAATCGAAACAACCTTGGAGAGAAAAAACAGACCCAACTATTTGGCCCATGTGGAACTTATAGCTCCAACTATGACGCAGAGAGAATCGCCATAGTAAAGACCCTGGAGCAGATCACCCAAGACTTTTTTGAAGGCCCAGTAACACCAGGGGATATTATTGTCTTCTCTGACTCAATGTCAGTACTCCGCGCTGTCGAGAGAGGAGGAGACTACAGAGGTGACGGGAAAATTCTCAGCCTTGTAAAACAGATGGGCACTTCTTATGGCGTCTAGGTCACACTGCAGTGCCTGGCCATTCTGGAATACCAGGGAATGAGACTGCAGACCAATTATCAAAGACTGGAGCAAGCCTGCCCCAGACAGACACGACCGTCTATTTACAGACCTGCAGAAGGAACATCCAAGCTAAAAGCAGAGACAAGTGGCTAAACAGATAGGCCAATGCAGAAACAGGAAGATCTCTCTTCGGGTACATGGACAAACCCAACCCCAAAGACCTTTCGAATGTTTTATATAGAGCCGATCAGACATTGATCTTCAGAGCCCGCACAGGACACTTACACATCAACAAGCACATAAACAGAATTAACCCCATCTGGGAACCCCATTGCAGACACTGTGACTACCACAAGGAGACTGTTGAACATCTTCTCCTCCACTGCCCAAACCTGGCGTTCTTCAACGCAGGCTCCTACACACACCTACAGACTTTCAAAGTAACAAAGCCTGCTCTACTCTGGCGTTGACCAGATGACAAGGACATGTAGTTACTTGAGGGAGGCATTGCGCTGCCAAGAGTGAAATGCTCACAGCTAAAGGGATTTGAAAACAACAACAACAACATGGGTGGGAAGTTAAAAAAGCAGTTCATCTTCTTTGCAGACTCAAACAGTAAAAATGACAGGAAGGCAAATAACTTAGTGACAACTTGCAATAAAAAAAATATGATGCTGGTTTTCACACTCACCTCTGGGCCAGCTCAGTGTGAACTGTAGCATCGACCTTCCCAAGAGCTACTGGTGGATCATTTTCCAGCAGTGCAGCAGCAGCAGCTGCATATTCTGGGGCTAGACTTTTACAGTGACCACACCTACATGAACACAGAGAAGAAAAAAAGAAAAGAAAATGTATTTTTATAGATATATATATATATTATATATATGAGATGCAGCATGGTTAAATCAGGCGCTTGTCAAAATAATGAAACTGAAGAAACTGGTGTTTTTCCGCAGGTTTGGGAAGTTTTATCAACTTTTTAATTTTTGGGGTCAACACCTTTCATGCCTATTAAATAACACATTTCTTTGTGTATTTTACTGAAAAATGATGGTCATAGGCATAAAAGATGTAAATTTTAGGTTTCCACAGACTCTCAAGCTTAGGAAATCTTGACTTGTATCAAAGATAACTGAATTTTTTTTCATCAAAAACAAAGAAAATGGACAAGTTTTAAGATGATGATACCAAAAACTCCACAGATCTATGTGCCAAAATATTGACCATAGCCTGATTCCACCACATCGGGACACATACGTTGTATCATTATTGGCTTAAAAGACCCCAAATACATTAAAAGTAAAGCACTGAAAAAGTAATCTTCGGCAGTAAATTGTTTCTAGATTGCATGAATCGGGATACATGATAACATGATTATTAAGCAAATAATGACTCAGAGCAAAAGAGAAGATGAAAAGGAGAATACACACATAAAAATGCACTTAAATTTTCTAATAAAAACAGAATATGAATGAAAGCTTCTTTAAAAAGTCAATAAGCTTTTGACTTTTGATAATGATGAGCAATCCAATTCAAGTCTTTTAATAAGTGTCTAAAAACAATGAACAGAGAAACTAACCACTTCAACAGCCAAAGTGAGAAGTCACTTACCATGGTGCGTAAAACTCCACTAGAATTGTCTCATGCTTGTTCACAACAGAGTCAAAGTTGTCATTGGTCAATACAAGCACTGACTCTTCATCTTGGACAAACTCAGTATCTTCAGCTCCTTCATCTAGAAAATAAATAATAATAATAATAATGAAGATCATTTCTATAGTGCCCACTCCCGTGTAAACACAGCTCTAGGCGCTTTACATAAATGCAAGTACGAACAATATTCATGCACGCAACACACACACAAATACACACACTCATACACACATACACACACACAAACACATGCATACACACTCACGAACACATAACACGCACACATGTGTGTGCACACACATGCATGCCAAACACACACACACACACACACACACACACACACTCACACACACATGCACGCACACAAACACACACACACACATCTACTTGCTTATCACACGCACAAGCTTACACATCGTAACAAAATGAGCATAAAATAATATATACGCTGCAATTCACAAAATACATAAATGGGTACAGTCATTTACATAAAAAATTGTATTGAACATGAATATTCTGCATAAAAAGGATGTAAAAAAGTGTCTTTAAAGAATTTTTAAATTTAGACTCAGATGTTGTATATACATGTCTCATCAAGGGTTGGGGAAGAGAGTTCCAAACTGACGGAGCAAGGTGGGCGAACGACATGCTCGAGGAAGTGGATTTGATACTCAATATATATAAAATTGTCGATAAATGAAATATAAAGCCATTTAGAGTGAGGTAAAAACAATGGGAGGTCAGCAGTAAAAAGACAACACTACTTTTTTCAGCTGTTTGCTTACCTTGATTCTTACACAATTACACAGTGAAACTAACAAGAGGCAGAGGAGAGGAGGGGGGGGGGGTGGAGCTACGGTACCAAAGACCATGCAACGCGATGCGCAAACTATGTACACAAGCGCAAACTTTGTTGTAGATCTAGCATCCTTGTAAGGCCTATTTATATGGCTGCTTGCTGGGGAAAATGCTTTAATGGAAAGGTGAGGCACTGACTCGCTGAGCGTGGCACTTGCCAGCGACAGACTGAGAATGGGATGGGGAAGGGGAGTGAGCGATCGGGAGTGGGGGTAGGGAGGAGATGCCCAGCACACGAGACGCTCACGTCTGTGACTGTGAGGCACTGTAGGCTACTGTGTTGGAGACTACACTGTGGAAGCCCTACTAAAGCCCGATGTGCTGAATAGGCTACTTGGCGGGTATGAGGACTTTTGAAGAACTATTGGGTTGACCGTTAGCGTGGCTTTTTCCCCTATTTTGTTTGTGTGGGCTTCGCCAGGTACCCAAGAAGCATGTCAATAAAGCAGACTGGGCCGAAAAGAGTGTCCAGATGATATCTATATATATATATATGAGGAATTGTTGGTAAATTTTTACTTTCACAACCGAACATAGATGTACTGTTTCGGGGGTCAAACTGCAGTACAGTGGAAACTATAGACTTGGTAATAGCAGGGATCCGGTAATAACGCGTAATGTGTCATGCGCAGGCCTGCCGTATGGCCAAATCTGACAGCCCTGGTCATGCACAGAGCTTGTTTTGTGTGTACTTGCGGCAAGGCAAACAACCCACAGCTGGATTAGTCCCCATGCTTACTTTCCTTGCATTTCTGATTTCAGGGATCTGATGTAACAGGACTTGTTCTCTGGTCCCACCATCCCTGTTATAGATCTAGATCTAGATCAAGATAGATCTAGATCTATATCAGGTTTCCACTGTAGGCCTATTGTTTGCTGCAGATCACACTTTTAAGCCACTAAAACTGTGGCAAATCAATTACTTTCAAGAAAATTTCAAACTTAACAGTAAAATATCAAAATAATGGGTTAAAATGGGGCATCCCCC